TGTCTGCCACCTCGTAAATTGGGTTCTAAAAACCACTTTTTCGTTATTCATACAACAGAGAAGAAGTAAAACACTTATTAAATGAAGTTCGAGTCAAAAGGAAGTTCACCATGAAAGTTAGCCAGATTCGAGTCGAATTCAATTGAGAAAGCTAGTTCCGTAAACAACCTATCCCCAAAAATAACACCTGTAGATTAGAACCATGCTTTTTTCATAGAATTCAGAATAATGTTGCCCATGATAAGCAAACAACCGGGGATTGTTTTACAAATGGCACACCATTTCAACTCAATGTTGCACAATGACCATAGCTTCTGTGTTTCAGTAGAAATCAATATTTATGGGACATAGAGGCTAACATAACTTAGCTGAACGATGCTAGGTGCTATAATCCAACGCCGGTTTCTTGTCATGGATCACTCCATTCACTGTCGAACGTGCCTTCGTATCTCCGATCTACTATTTTTTACTTTGATGTTTACTACTCAAGAGTAGATTATTTATTGAGGTAAATCAGGAGTTCCGGCCACCGCGTAGTCAGATTCTCAAGCGACCCAGGTTGAATTCTGAGTTTCACTATTGCCAATACAAACAGTAATTAGAAATTGCAAATAATCAGCCTAGATTTATGCGTAGCTTGAACTCTGGTGGTAGTGGAAACCGCTTGGAGGTTTGAACAGCGCGTGAACCTGATAGCATTGACGAAGTGTACAGGAGAGCTTGAAGTGGTACTGCGTCACCTTCAAATGATACCCGGATATCTTGATTTGATGCTCGAATAACTCGAATTGCACAAGATATAGTCCGTGTATGGGTGAACACGCGAGTACATGAATCGGACGGGGACTGTGTGTGTATGCGTTTATGCACCAGGGTTTCAAGTAACTCAGAAATACAAACCCCAATCGTCAGTTATTTTTAACAGCTGGTTGTGTCCACAAGAATGGAACTGAGAATTCCACTTGGGCCGATGGAGAATTGAACTACATAGTTCAATTCTGATCCACCTGATTCACCAGTATATTTCATTTTATATCCCGAACTCTACGAATTGAGACGCTATTGTGCGAAACGCGGCGGCAGCAAGCGCAGTCAGTTATTCTTATATTTTAAGAGAAAATGTGCGTCGATTGATATACGACTGAAATTAGTACCGATGTTCATGTTTGGGTTTGGAGCTAAATAACACTGACTGGTCGACTTGGGAATTTTATTTTATTTTCCAGAATAAGTTTAGCTGTTGTCTACATGTTTGTGAATGTGGGAATGAGTAAAATCACTAACGGTCAGCACATACGTGGTGAATAGCAAAAGACCAAACTACCTCTGATTACCTATGACTAAAACAAGACCTTTCAGTCATATGAGCCCAAGATGAACAGGACTTAAATGATACCGGAGAGAGCCAACGCGTCTGTGTATCCACGCCTGTAAACGGTCACGCACCTATCAATTGGCTGTGACCCGCAGGTTTTGTCACGATTAAGAGGTCGTTTAGTGATCTTTTCCACTCACCGCATAGAAATAAATTGAAAAGACGAGTAGGTATAAATCACATAGACCAGTGCGAAAGAGCACGCCCGACTGACCTTACATAGGCAGCGAGAACTTCACCGTTTTTCCGGTCACTCAGATACTCTCCAATCATGCGTTTGTCTAGTCGCGGGTTCTCTCGCAAAAAGTGAGCCAATTCAGTGGGATCCAATGGAGTGCGTAAAATGCCGTAATGTTGGAGAAACTCAATTCCACGCTTTGGCTTGGAATTAAACTGTTCGGAGCCCAGCATGAGAATCTAGAGTGAGCACAGGCATGCAGAGAGGGAGGCATATACGTAAAATTGGATTAACATGTTTGAGAAGTTAAAATGCATTCCACGCGCAACAGGACAGGACCACAATCAAACGCATACATCACGCGTTAACACAAGACGTTCTGGAAAATGAGGCATAAGAACTAGCAGATAAATTTCAATTTTCCACACATCACTCCCATCCTTTAAACATAGATTAAAAGGTATTGTTGGAAGGCATCGAAGTGGTTTTGATGAGAGAGGGGAAGTATGTGCGTCATCGGGCCTAACACCTTTGTCATCTAGCAAAGTCTACGTGCTACGTTTGTTCTAACGCTTTGATGGTTGTATTTCACACACGTCTGAATCCAAATTGTGTGCCAGATAAATCATAATGTAATATTGTTTATAAAAAAAAAAGTTACACGATTTGTAAGTGGGCAGAATACTGCCATGTTGCCAGGCCAAGGCAGGTGAATTTTCTTGAGGAATTCACAATTGGAGCCTTCGGCTAGCCAAAGCCTGACTCACAAGGCAACGGGGCGGTGTGCGAAAACTGCAATCCATTGGAGGGCCGGTGTCCAGTACATCGGATTATGCGCCTTTTGGACGGGTCAAATGTCAAAGGTGCCCAATTGAGCCGGTGACTACTGCCACGAACAAGGTGTGTGTGTGTGGTCCGTGCACCTCTTCTTGGCTGGTTTTGAATAAGGGTTTTTAACCAACTCTTCTAGGTCAACTGCCAGTAGTTCACCGACCCGATTATACTCTCAGATGTGATAGCTTTTCGTCCCCTCACTTTGGTGGGAAAATACCTCCGTCAGGAGAAAGCAGTGAGCAGGGCTTCCTCAGCAGAGACTGGTTGAGACGCTTTTTTATCACACAAGTGTGATGAAAAGCAGAGGGGGTAAACCCCATAGTCACGAGGACCTGCAGCTCAGTGGTGAAAACCGGCAACCTAAGCCCCAGAACTTGGAGTGGCAAACCACATAAGGCCACGATAGGTTAGGCGTGGTATTGAACCGGACGACGGCAGAGCTGCCTACCACCGAAGTCGAGTGGCAGTGGCGGGGCTCGAACCTCGGACCATAGAGTCCGAAGCACACCGGTGACAGCGACTTAACCACTGCGCCACCACCATCGTGCAGGGTGCAAGGGAAGGGTAACTAACCACAACCCAAGACACCCACCCCGACCATACTGAGGAATTCGGAGGACAACAGTTTTGATGATGCCGCTAGAGACTTTTCGTTGGCTGACNTTGGGCTTCAACCCAGCTGCTGGGAATCAATGCTTTCATTTTTTAGGAGACCCAAGATCATGAAAGAACAAATAGACTGGATCGGCTGGAAAAATTGGCCGCGAACTATATCACATATCTAACTTAATCCCGTGGTTCACTTACTCTG